ATAAGAGACAGCTCCAGGCGGAAGCCCTGCTCTCTCTGCTCAGCCGCCGCCATAGAGGGGCTTTGTGTCAGCCGGCACAAAGTGAGGATTGATGCCGCTTCCCCTCCCCCTGCCGCGCCGAGCGGGACCGCAGACGGCTCCGACAAAGGTCCCCTTCTCCCTCCCGCCGGGGACGGGGTGCTGCCCCGCTGAGGGGTCTCCCCGGCGGCACCACGCACGGGCAGAGGCACCCACTGCCCTCCTGCAGTGGCGCCGGGGACCCCCAGGGCCCGTCCTCAGCCTCTCCCAGGCCACCCTGCTGCTGCTGGGGTCCTGCCGGGGCAGCTGGGCCTCCCCGCAGCGTGGTGAGCCGGGGCTGGGGCAGCCTTCAGCAGCAGGTCCCGGCCCTGCTGTCGCTGCTGCGAAGAGTGCCGGGGGCTCCCTGCCCGCCTGGGCTCTCCCAGGGCCTGAGAGGGGGCACAGCCCCTCTGCTCCCCCCTCAACCTGAGGTGTCGGTGCCATCCCGGCCGCCCCTGCTCCCCTCTGCCAATGTGGAGCAAGTGGAGCTTTGTCGGGGCGGGTTTGATGGAGGCCGGAGGCGGTGGGGGAGCAGATGTGCCATGCTGGAACCTGCCGTGCGGTGTTCTGAGCGTGCCGAGGAATATTGTCACTTGCCTGGATTTCAGTTCGGAATGGCCTAAGAGGAGCTCATATCAGCATTCATTATCTATCTCCCAGCCCCTCCCGATGCGTAATAACAAGTCATCACGTTATTGAGAGTGACTTGGAAAAGTTTCAGAAAATGTGCCTCTGAATGAAGAGCAGATTGTGAGTTTTGTTGAATTCAGGCTAGGTTTGCTCGGCACGGCGCGTTCTCGGCAGCGGGTTCTGCATTGAGGCATCTGGATGAGCCGGCGGAGCCGCGCAGGCAGCGGCGCGGGGTTTGTCTGGGCTGTGCCCCGCAGCAGGGACCTCGGCTCCTCGGCCACCCTGAGCACGGGGAGCCCGTCGGGAGGGGAGGGTGAGCCCCCACGGCTCGGGGTGCGCCTGTCGCCGTGCTCGGGGGATGAAACTGCGTGGGGAGCAAAGCGGCTCCGCTCAGCTCTGCGTGTGCTGGGTCTCATGCGGGCCGGAGCGGAGCGCTCTCCTGGGTGTGGTTCCTCAGCAATAGCGTTTTCACCATTCCTGGTCTCTCGCTTCTGTCGTGTTGGACTCCCCAGGTGGTCTGGCTGTTCGTGTGACATTATTATTATTTACATAGGGCCCAGACTTGCTCTTTTTTATTGCCCGCAGCACGATGTTTGTTCAGACTGGGCATTGTGAAGTGTAAACCCAGGTCCCACTTGGCACCAGCACTCACCTCTGCCTTTTCTAGAAGCAGTAAGTAACCAGCTGTCTACACTGGCCTAGAAATGCTGGGGTTTAATTGCTCTGAGGAGGGAACTCAATTAGGTAGCTCTGGTTCACGGCTTGTCTGGCTGCGCAGCAGTGACGCTTGTTTACACAAAGCACTGCCCTTTTATCTCGGGGTGCGTGGGGGGTGGTTTCCTGGGGCATTTCTGCCTGAAAGCCAGAGAAGACTTGCCCTGACTGGCAGCCTCTGCAGGAGACCACATGCTGAGGCAGTGGCACCTTTCCCCCTCCTCCTCCTCCTCCTCCTCCTCCTCAGCGAGTTGTTTCAGCAGCTCGCTTGTCTTCTCCTGCTTCCTGCAACAGCATCTCTCCAAAACTGGTTGGTCTTACCTGCTTCTGTCCCACTTAGCGTATCTCCCTCCCCTGAACTACTTGGTGATGTCTCCTCTTTCTCTTGGAAGATGCTCGGGCCTCCTCAAGGCCTCTGTCTGCTTTGCATCAGACCATCCTGTGCCGCTTCCTCTGTGTTCCCTGGTGTTGAGGCGCTCTGCAGCAAGCGTGGTTTTGCATACAACGCCAGATACATCTGTGCTGCTACATGAAAATGGTCTGGCTCAGGAGGGTGCCAGGGGGCTGAGGACTCGCGGGGGAACCCCCGGCGTGTCTGACACCTGTAGTGGAGGGGGAACCTCCCACTGAAGCCATTAAGCAGCAAGAAATCTGCTTCTAAAATGGCAGAGCAGCTTCAGCCTGCCTGGCTCGGGGTGAAATTTGTTCTCTGTTTGGGAGGGAAGGGAACGAGCTTTGGTTTTCCCATCGTTGCTAGAGGGAGACCAGCCCATGCTAACTATCCTGGAAACAACAAAATTAATCTCAGAAGAGACTTCTGGCCCAAATTCCAAACCTATTGGGCATTGCGCAAACGTACCCTCTTATCAAAAGCAAATGAAAGTGCAGAAGGTGTGTCTGGCCTATTCCCGTGTTTAACTTGGCAGTCTGTGGTGTGTCAGCACAGGCTCTGTGGCATGCATGCAGGCTCTGGGTGTTCTGTCTCCTGCCGGGGTGTGCTGCCCTGCAGCCCTTTAATTCTGCTCCTTCCTTTCAGGATCAGTCCATCATGCCTGAGGTGCGAGACCTCTCCGATGCCCTGCCCGACCTGCCGATGGATCCCATCACGGGCGTTGGTGTGGTCGCGTCCCGGAACCGAGCACCCACTGGTTATGATGTTGTAAGTAGAGCTGTTTCAGCCACCGTTGCTAACGCTTTGGTTCTGCACTAATGAGCCTTTACTTTGCTGGGAACAGCATCTTTTCGAGAGAGGGCTCGCCTTCAGATGTGTGCCTTAAGAAGTAATTTGATATCCAGCTGCCCACCTCTCAGCCCACAGCATTTAGCGCTTTCCCTCAGTGGAGGTTTGGGGGTGCAGTCGTGCTCCTTCATCTGTGCCACTCCAGAGGAGCATAATTACCTGGAGGAGGGGTTTTCAGAACAGCTGGCCACTGTGGCATGCAAATTTAATAATCCTAGTAACATTCATCCTGAAGGAGTCCTAAGTATTGCACAAATTATATCTCTGCATAAATGGATCCCGCATCAGCTGTTTAATCCCACATATCGGCACTGCACAATGATGATGAGAAGCTCCAGAATGGGAAGCAAGGAGTTTTGCATCCAGCTGAAATTGCAGTCATGATTCTGATGGACGGAATGCAAACCTCTAACCTGAGCTTTGGCAGGAGGCTGGGCGGCAGGAGCAGGCAGCTGGGTACAGCAGAGATGAGAATGTGAGTGGTTAAAGGGAGGTCACTGTTTAACAGCTGCTTGTGCCTTGCATTAGTTGCTGTGTGACCTTTTTCTCCCCATAGATTAGTGTCCCAAATGCTGAAATACCATAAAATACTGACCTTGCAGAGCTCTGTGTGGAAAGATTGGGCCCCTAGTCCATCTGCTCACCTCTGTGTCCTGCTCCAGCTGTGCTACATCACACCTTGGGTTTCCAGTCACACAGCTTGAGTGGTTGGGAGTGGAAACCAGTCGGCCTGGGGCTTTGCTCACACCTTTTCAGCTCTGGATCGTTGCGTACCCTGTCCGGTGTGAGAAGGAAGAAGATGGATCAGGCTGAAGTAAGGGCATGAGGGAGGGAGCTGTGAAAAGGCTCCTTGAAGGCCTGGAAGGTTTTTGCATTTGCTGCGTTTTTCTGAGT